TTTTTCCATATTCAAGATATATTGGTAAAGAACTTCTAGTTCTACTTTCTTCTTAAGTTTGTCATATTTCGACAACACATGGCAATTAAGTCCAAGATTAAGCACCTCTTTTTGTTCCTCAGTAAGGTCATGTTGAGATAAATTGATGTAACCGTCGGCAGTTTCCGGTAATACTATATGTCCACCATGGAGCCTTGAGAGCTTTTTCATGATTCTGTTTCTAGTAAGACGTGTAGCGTCACACTCAGTCACGTCGACTTCGTCAAGTACTTTTTGTTTTAGTTCATGTTCAGGGCAACATACCTGTAGCTCTCGTTCTAAAACTTTTCTCTTTCTCTTCAGGATTTCACAGGCCGTCTTCTTTTGCTGCAGTTGGTGATTCACAAGTCGTTCTCTATACCTTTTGGTAAAACCCTCTTTCTTGACTGCCTGGCCATGTAGCTTTATGCTGGAATATTTTGGAAGAATTCTTTCTTTGATGCATGTTTGATTAAAAATAACTGCTGACTCAGCATTGATGAGCTTTTTGATGCATCGTTCTAGTTTCCGGGCCTTTGACTTGGCGTCATGGCTTAGATTAAAGGTGGATTGGTTGCGTGACGGGGCACCTTTGGACCACATGCGACAGGAACACGACATGACATTGACACAACAACTGACAGACAGCACTCACATTTTACGGACGTGCAGTGACAGAAGACGCCTTCAAATTTGGGAAAGCATATTCATTAACGAACTCTCTCCGGCCTTATACAGGCAGACAAATTCTTGCAGAACTCTTGAACTACTAGGTGGTGGGCGGTGACTACTTCTGATGGGATGGTGACAATAGTGTTCCCATTGTGTCTTTGTGATGTTCCCATTATGAGTGTTTCTTACATGTATGAAAATGGAAGTAGGATTCCGTCTTACTTCAATTAGTTATGCTTCATTTATTTTCTCCGTACCAAAAGATGTTTTCCAACAGTAGTGCACAATTTTTCATCCTTTAAAACCCAGAACTTATTTCTTGTGCAATTTAGTCTTCTCCGACGATGAGATAAGATCTCGAAACGTTAGAATGGAAGGAGTGATGAATATATGAGTAATTTTGTGCGAACCATCTTTAATCTAAGCGATGACGCCAAGTCAAAGGCCAGGAAACTAGAACGATGCATCAAAATGCTCGGCAGTGCTGAGTCAGCAGTTATTTTTAATCAAACATGCATCGAAGAGAGAATTCTGCCAAAATATTCCAACATATATATATATAAGTACATACATATATACACGATTAATCAACTGCGCTTACGCTTCACAGTTGGAGTCTATTCACACCTGCCAAGTAATGCCAAACCTAATGTTCATCGCCCTGTCCCGTCAAGCTGTTCCGTGCACATCTCAGCGGATGGTGCGTTTCGTGTTCGTTGCTTACTGTCCGCGTATCTTGCGCATCGCGCAAGTGTGCAGCAGATGGGCTAAGCAGCTGCCGTTAGGGGGGGGGGGGGGGAGAGATGAGGGGTATAAATCGGCTACGTATTCCGCCGTGATCTACGGTCGCCATAGGGCCGCATAATCTGAACCGGTCTCCCGGGGAATACCAGCGATGTCCCGCCGCATTCCGGCGCAAAATCGGCCGGATGTACCTTGAAGTGAGTTTAAGACTACTGACTGCTGACCTTTGTGTAAGCTTGTGGTCCGTGTCAGGGCATGTTATGTGGTCTTGTGGTCCGTGCCAGGGCATGTTGTGTGGTCTTGTGGTCCGTGTCAGGTCATGCTGTGCGGTCTTGTGGTCCGTGTCAGGGCATGTTGTGTGGTCTTGTGGTCCGTGTCAGGGAGCTTCTTGTGTAGTCTTGTGGTCCGTGCCAGGGCATGTTCTGTGGTCTTCTGGTCCGTGCCAGGGCATGCTGTGTGGTTTGGTGGTCTGTGTCAGGGCCTGTTGCGTAGCCTTGTGGTCTGTGTCAGGACCTGTCGTGTGGCTTTGTGGTCTGTGCCAGGTCCAGTTGTGCAGCCTTGTGGTCTGTACCATGCCTATCGTGGCCCTGTGGTCCGTGTCCGGGCCTGTTGTGTAGTCTTGTGGTTCGTGCCAGAGTGTGTTGTGTGACCCTGTCGCTCATGCCAGGACATTTTATGTGACCCTGTGGTTTGTATCAAGGCCTACTGTATGACCAGCTGTCCGTAATATGGCATGTTGTTTAAGCCTCTGGTAGGTGTCAGGCTATGGCATGAGACTCTGCGGTCTGTGTCAGGACCTGTTGTTTAAGCCTGCATTTTGTGGCATGACCTGTTGTGCGTCCTCGGCGTTATGGGGGCCGGTTGTGTGACTTCGTAGTTTGTGTTAGGCTTGTAGGCTTTCGTGGCTTGCTGTGTGATTCTGATTGCTTTGTGGGGGCCGATAGTGTGGTCTAGTGGTCTGTGTCAGGGGCTGTTGTGTGACGCTGTGACCTGTCTCAAGGCCCGTTATTTTTAACCTTGTGACTTGCATACGGGTTGTTGTGTGACCTTGTGGCATGTGTAAGTGACTGTCGTGAAAACATGTGGTCTGTGTTACGACCTGTTGTGTGACCTTGTGACCTTTGTCGGGACCTGTCGTATGACCCTTTGGCGCTTGATCTATGCAGACTTCAGGCGTCAGCGATGTTTAGTGTTATCTTTCCGTGTGAAGATTAGATTGATTTACATCTGGGACGGGCTCCATGCTTCCAAAAACCGTCTGGAGGTAACATGGTCATTTTATATAGCTTTTACTTGTTCTTGCTTTGATTTTTGGATTGCTCTCGAAATTCTTGGAGAGAATGCCTCTAAGCGAATACCTAAAGGCGCCAGAATTGTTTTTGCAGACGTTCCTTCAGTTAGGATGTTGGCTGCTTGTCATTTTTAGTTGCATGAGAAAGGTAACTTAAATATTCCTGCATGGCAAGAAGGATCAACAAATATAGATTGTTGCGATCGGTTCGGGATGTGAACTTTTTTAATGATAGAACCAAAATTGCCCATTGATGGGGTCGAAATATCAAGAAAACAAATGTGAACACCGGATGAAAATAGTCATCATTACACTGCTAAATCCAGGTTGGTGTATTCCATGTTGAAGAAAACAGTGCATAAATTGAATAACACCAAACACAATGGCACATGCGGCACAGACAACATGTCTGTGGTGCATATCATTGCCTGTTTTTGTACTGGTGATTAAATATGTTACCTTGGTGCTCTATTGTGATGGGCATCTTTGCAAGCCATGAGGTGGGTAATTCCATTGACCTGGAAAAGACTGGACAAAATTCTCGACTTTACAAAACGTGCCGCCCGGCAACGTTGTAGAAAGGCAAGCGCTTTTCTGCGGCGCTAAGCAGCCATTGGAACTGCTATACGCGGGCGATTCGCGGTGCAGTATGGAGCGAAAATGACGAGAAGCTGCTCTGCGATCGGGTGTATTAAGAGGCAGGGTGATCGGTCAAGATATGGAGATAGGTTGTCATTCTACAAGTAAGTATTTTCGAGCTTGATCGTGCATAAACTTGATTTTGTTGTATGCGGGTCTGCACCATGACTGTCAACCTGCGCCTTTGCTGGTAATTGAGGTGGAGATATAAAGGTATCTCTTTAATTTTTTACTCAGATATGTTGTGTGCTTTCCTGCTATTATCTAGGCATTTTATCACAACTGAATCCAGCTGCATCCACCTGTAGGACAATAAATATCCATGTTGGCAAGTGGGAAGGTGGAATGCAGAACATGTAAGAACCAGAAGGAAAATACCTTTCAAGGATGGGCGATGTCAATGTTTATCACTTCTGAAAGGCAGTTGTGTGCTATTCAACACTGATGGGGTGCTGGTACGGCATTGATATTCCATTTGCTTCCTCTGAAGAGGAAAACAGCATATGCGTATGCTATTTGCCTGGTTAATAGAGCTCATGAAACAAGACTAAGCTGGCCAAGACAAGACGTAAACTAGACAGTGAAAACCACTCCTTGTCATCTGATTTTAGGATAATGACTGAGTCAAACGAGTGTCTTGAAATGGCTGGATGTTTTAGCTCTTTGCACTTCAAGAAATATTTGCAACAGGGTTAAAACTGTACCAAATGCAACATTTTGTAATCCAGTTCAAGCTCAGCTAATAACTGAATTTGTGTATCCTTTGTAGAGCCCAGAACTTAGGCTTTGATTTAAATCCTGACAGTAAAAACAACTATGTACAAAACACCTTAAAAAAATTGTTATTGCTGGCTTGGGCTTTGCACACTGCTTGCCGCACCACAGATTTAGTGAATTGACTGATTGACAGGTATGCGACAAAATGCTTTTTATTGTCATCATATTGTATACAGATCTAAACGAGGGTGCTGGAGGCGTTCACAAATATCCTTTGCATCTGCTGATAACAAAATGATATAACTTTCGTATTAGATCCTGTTGACTGAGACTGTGCTGGGAAGTGAGGGGCCCACACCGGCGATGCTCGAATTTCAACTTTCCAGACATTGCCTAAAGGTGCAAATTCACATGGAACTTGTTATCAAGTTGCCTTGCTATTGTCTGAAGGGAATATACAATGCAATTCCAGCTTGCAGCGCACTTAAAACCACAAATTTTCTTTGGAGCACAAAGACACAACCAGACATAACCCCATCTAAGGGACATGTTCTGTGTCATGAAACATGAATGGCACCTAACTACCTCTCCAACTCATAAGACACCTGCAAGTTATGATGGTGCCATGGTGATAATTGTGGAAAAAACAGGAGTGTGGCAAATTGTGGTATGGCGACAATTGTGATGCATGATATGTATTTGTTACATAACGCAGGGCAGCGTTCAGATCATTAAGGTGGCATGGTCATTATGTGCATCACAGCTCTGCTGGATGTAATGCTTGCAAAATGTGGACCAGATGGAATCAGACTGAGGTGAAAAATGCTGTGGAAGGTGCATGAGGTGCATTTTGAAGATGCATTTTTTGTTTCTGTTCCAGGTGCCGTCAACATGACCCGAACCTGCTGAGGAAGTGGATCACTGCTACAAGACGTCAGGGGGAAAAGCAAAGGACATGGAATCCCTCTCAGAGTGCACTTCTTTGCAGTGACCACTTCATGGAGGCTGATTTTGAACCATATCGTGAACGCAGAATGCTGCGTGAGGGAAGTATCTCATCATGGTTCATGTTCCCCGAGCAGACAAAACCAGTGGCACGCAAAAATCCCCAAAAGCGTGTTGGCCCATGCACAACTCCGCCCAAGCCAAAGCATGTCAGGCGCCTGCTTCTCGGGCAGCCACACCAGCCCGCTCCAGAGGAGGCACGGGTGTAGCCTGCCCCAGAGGAGGTGTTGCTGCAGTCTGCTCCAGAGGAGGCATTGCTACAGCCTGCCTCAAAGCTGCAACAGCTTCAGTCTGCACCAGAGCAGCAACTGCTACAGCACACGCCAGTGAAGCTTCAACATCACCCAGGTGGCCCAGAGCATAGCTATAGCGCAATTTGTAACAACTCGACACATTTCAAGTCTGAGTGCCCTCAAAGAAAGCCGGATCGTCGATGCCGAGCTTCTCGAGGTGATCCGATCTCGATTTGAAAACCCAATGGTGTCAGCGCTTTTCACCAACGAAGTTGTCAATGGTGGCAGGAAGAAGCGAAGTGGCCAGAGGTATTCAGAAAAAAACTCTGCCTCACCTTCCACTACTATTCTCCGAGAGCATGTAGGTTCCCCTCAAAGAACTTCTCCCTGCGGGGTGCAACATCGTTACGAGAGTGGACGAGAAGCGTCAGCTGTGAGGTGGGCGTCCTCCACGAGGTGCGACAGACACTGTGCTGTGGAGTGACAACCAACAAAATTGACCCTAACTGCTGTTTGATGGTCGATGAGATGGCGATACGGAAGGCGAAGGTGTACTCGCAACCCAAAGATAAGTTCGTTGGTCATGTTGATCTGGGTGCAGGGGACGTGGAAGACACGAGATTGGCAAAAAATGCCCTAGTGTTCATGGCCGTTGGTCTCAAAGTGTGTGGCGCCACCCTGCCGCCTACTTTCTCACAGACCACATTTCAAGAGACTCGGACAGAACTGGCCAAGACTGTCCTGTGTGCTTTGGGCGACGCAGAACTGAAGGTGCGATCGTTCTTGGCCGATGGACTCCAAGCCAACCTGTCCATGTTCGGCCACTTGGGCGTTCAGAACCTGCAGCCAAAACAACTTCAGCTTCCCATTGTTTCTAACTACTTCCTGCATCCTGCAACCAACCAGAAGGTGTATGTTCTGCAGGATGTGGTGCACATGCTGAAACTGCTACGAAACCTCCTTGGTGAATACAAGAGCCTTCAACTGGATGGTGAAGAGGTATCCTGGGGGTATATTCAAGTAAGAGTATGCCAAATTTAGTAGTAATAGTAACAATAAACAATCTAATAGTAATTCAGTCCCAGAAAAACCGAGTATAATGCTAAAAGACTACATTTTACTTAAGTGTCACTCTGTTTTTCTGCATACATCTATCCCATCATCTGTGTAGTTCACGTCTAGATGCATGGGTAGAGACTTGAGAGACTTAACTTAATCTGAGAGCACGGCGATACTCTTACACTAATGGCTGAACCTGTTCAGCTCGTTTTCAGTATTCTGCAGCCAAGGTAAAATAACGATTGTAGACACGTTCACAGGCGCTGTACGACCCGCAGCACAGCGAGGGTATCCGGGCGGCCAACAAGCTCCCTCGCCGGCACGTCCAGTACGAAAAGAACAAAATAAAAGTTAAGCTTGCTGCCCAGCTGTCCAGCAACTCGGTGGGCAAAGCTCGGCTGTACCTAGAAGAGTCGGGCCACCATGAGTTCACCGGAGTGGGGGCAACGGGGCGCCTCATCCTGCTTGTTGATCAGGCATTCGACTACCTCAACAGCAGCAACCCCTACGTGAAGGTCTTCAAGACTCCTGTAGCTGCCAACAACTTAATGTGAGTTGAATTAATTAGCATTAAGAACAACCTGATAAGTCCAAAGTGTGTGTTTTCTTTCCGCTAAGGAAATATATCAGGATGGTCAAATACCAGCTATCACATACACAGCATCAACAAGCATGCTAGTGAAACGTTCTTTGAAAATGGCGTGGGCATATGGCGTGATGTGCTGTCGTGTTTGATCGCCCGTTACCCCCATAGGCAGATCAAGCGATAGGAGCAAAATGTCCCAAAGTGAAATGTGGGGCAAAAGTGTGCATTTTGTCCTTGCAGCTGGCCACTTATGTCACATACTCCCCCACCCCCATCCCATACCCCTTTTCCAATCACCAGACAAAATTGACCATTCAGGTATGTATGGTCAATCCCCACCCCGGTCGCCGATCAAGAACGCGTGAACTGCCCGCTCCCCCACAAACAAAATGTAACGACTGGGCGACCTCTGGTTATCAGCAATTCATTCGAACATTATGTTGTGAGGGCGGTTTGTAGCCGAACAATTGCCTTAGCAAAGGCTATAGATGTCGCTGTTATTCCTTACTCCTAGGCTACGACGTGAGTTTTTGGCCGACTTCAGTTCCGTGCTGTTCCGGCTGCAGACAGCATCAAGCGAACCGGTACTGTAGACGCGACGCTTCACCTCGGTCCTGGGTCTCTGTCTCGCGACGCAGACCATCATGGACGTCACTGAGGCCCTGCTGGAGGAGGGGTTCGTCCATGTACTGTCATACAGGATGTCCCAAGACCATCTAGAGCTGCTGTTCGGCCGGATCCGACGTACGGGCGGCTTCAACAACAACCCGAACGTGGCCCAACTGCAACATGCCATGCGCAGACTCATACTACACAGCTTCATATCGCCATCTACCACCGGGAGCTGCACGTCACGGGATGACGGTGACGACGGCCTGCTCCTGATCCGTCGTCCAAAACGGCAGCGCCCGACGCTCAGTGAGAGTGGCCCCATGCCGGCGGTCGTGCAGCATCTCCTCACGACGGAGGACACCGGCTCGGGGTTCGTTGGCAACTGTGTTGGCTACATCTGCGGCTATGTGTGCCGCAAGCTGATGGAAACGAGCGCTGTCGGGTGTGGTGAGTGCATTGGTGCACTTCTGTGCAACGAGGACGGTCCTCCGTCGCATGAAGTGATGGGTTTCGTAAAAGTGCGGGACGACGGCGGACTGCTCATCCCGTCGGCGTCGGCGTACGCGATCGTCACGGCAGCTGGGCGGCATTTGACCGCTTTGCATAAGTGTGGTAGGATGGACCGAGCTAAACTGTTACTGAGTATCAAGTGCGGTGTCCTGGCACAGTTAATGACTGAACGCAGCCACGAACTGTTCCCTGGTGTGCAAGACGACATGTTCGAGCCGCGAGCGGATGAGTGCCATGCTGTGGTAATGGTAAAACAGATCGTGGCCAGGTATCTGCGTGTCCGCCTCCATGCCTATGGACAAAATGCTACAGTGAGTGGAATGTTCCGTACCCATGTGAGGCACAAACTGTACAAGCAGGTGCTCTTTGCGCACCAGTAGTCAAATACATCAGTAGATATCTGTGCTGGTGACCGCAAGTAGATTTACTAGTTACATTGTTTTGGGGCTATAAGGTGCGTGGACACGCAAGTCCTGTGCATTAGCATCGTTAGTAGCACGGTGTACATACTCTGAACAAAATGATATACTACGCGTAGTTTTGGGGCTGTAATGTGTGTCGGCGTGTAAGTCCTGTGTATCGACGTTGTCAATAGTACGGCGTACATATTCTGAATAGCATGGTATACTATGCGCGTATTTCGGTGCCTACACAGCTCGCAGGAGTACCGAGCCGACGGTGCTGGACATAGCTCATATTCCTGTAACGCACCAAATCGAGGCATGAGCTCTGGTCTTATCTGAGTGTGGATGAGGACGGACCTATTCTCTCACGCAGGTGAGCAGCATGCATGCAGTGCATACAAAGGGACAACCATAGCCTGAACTCCAGCAGCCCACCGGAGCAGTTACTTCGCCCATAAACAACGACGTAAGAATGTCCTCAGTCTCCCAACAGGCTGATGTAAATGATGACGTCGGCGTCAGTCAAAGTGCCCCCTGCGAAAATATTCGCGCTTTCCAACGATTTTGGGTCGTCGATCCGGCCTGGGAGGACCCAACTGTCGAATACATTTAAAGATGGATACAGTTGGCTAACATTCATGACAGTTATCTTGCTTGGCTTTGCTTCTGACTATTTCAAGCCGAAGCCGCAAGCCGGGAGAGCGTGATACGACTCGCCCGGCCCCTGTGCTCACTGGAATGCTGCAAAGGACCACATCCGGATGAGGGTTAAGAACAGCTGTTTCCAAAGTTATCGCTATGGAATATTTTCTGTCTTAGAAGGACCATCTGTTTTCTTCTGAGACCAGATTCTACCTTGCCTTCCCCACCTCTCCCCCCCCCCCCCCCCCCCACTTGTGCTGCGACGCAAAATCGCAAAATCAGTATGCCTAGATCAGTCTGTCAAGTCGCTACCCATGCCCTCGGAGCAAACTTTGCTGTGCCGTATTGCGTAAAATTGATGTCTTAAACAGCCCCAGAATTTTCAAGGCCCTCGCTCCCATCATTTCCAACTCACACGCCTGCAAAGTTCGGCCATCCGCCATGAGATTATCATTGCGAAGCTAACTCTTGCCCCTCTCCGTGTGGTGGCGCTAGTGTCGCAGGACGGGAACAACCGGCCGGTCGCCGCGCCGATGGGAGTAGACTGTCTAGATTTTTATAGGCCAATGGGTAATTCAACTGTTGTTATAATTAATAATTTGCTATGAATTTTGATCCAAGATTGCTTTTATCATGAAACAGCCCTTGGGCTGTTCCTATGTTATGATCTTTGGACTGTGCAAACACAGCTGTTTGTTTCACCTAACCACCAGTCCATATCAGCCCAATGCTGTTAACTGCAAGGATGTCAAAGCAGTATTTCAACCCTAGTACGTCAAGAAAGCAAGTAACTGCATTCTGACTTGCCAGTCCATGCCAAGTCTGAATGGTGATACTGCCCACAGGTACTGATGCTGCGTTTTATGGGGAAAGACCACGTAATTGCACAATTTTTGCCACTATGTAGCATTCATGAGTCATTTATTTAGCCTAGCTCACTGTTTGCAAGCTGCCCATAAATGCATTAGTGTGGGGGTAGGTAATGTGTTTCTTGGGCTGCGCAAAGCAGATGACATGATGCTGGCTGGCCCATCTGATTAGAGTCTGGTTAGCTTGTGAGTGTCATTGGTCAATACAAGAAAATACTGATTTCCTGCTAGCCATTGCATGACAGCAAAGATTCAGGTGTCACAGGCTCCAGGCGTATTTTAAACGTCATCCTAAATAATGTCAGCCAGGACAGCAAGCCATAATCTACATTGCAGGATGGGAAGCAGTAGCTTTGCTTGCACTTTTTGGAGCTATTGCCATGTATGGACGGTCTAGCCATGTTGCTTTACATCATCTCTGCCATTGCCATGAAGCAGCTTAGTTTTATTTACCAGTTCACTTCCTTGTCATTTTTGATTAAATACGTGCGACCAAATAAACTGTTTCTAGCATAAATATATGCTGGAATGTCTGTAAATCAGTTCTTCCTGTTTTGCGCCAATTTCTGTGATCGTGCTCCTTGCAATGCACAATGTTCACATGTCTCGGTCCACTAGTAAACATTTTTCACATACCACTACCTATCGGGCAGATTTCGCAGTGCTGACTATGCAGCTTTTGTGTTTCAAATGTTATGGCTTGTGCTGTGGCTATAAAGCCTGAGTCCCATATAGATCGTTTTTCCAACGGAGTCTATCTTCCTCCTCGCTCTCAAAGCCGTCTCGCGCCCACCATGACTGGTGACATTCGCCATCCATACGAAGGGTACTGGCATTTTTTCAGTTCATCTCAAAAGCGCAGTTTTCGCCCATAACCCGCTCCTTGATTCGGGCTAAGTGGGATCGAACTATCGACCATTAATCCGACGTAAAGCCTCTTTCGCCCATGTAAACGCACCTCGGCGAGAGGTTTAACGTCGCATGATCCGTTCCGATCTTAATTCGAATTACCCTCGGCTGCCCATGTAAACCGGGTACATGTCAGCGGGCCTAAATAAACCCTGATTAAATAGCATGGGACAATTATCATGCATTATTACCGATACCACCACCGCGTCACCCGCCACCCAACCACATCGTTGTCCGACCGCCGTCGCTAGGGCAGGTCCCTCGCGAAGTCCCTGCCGTACAGCTGCGCCGTCATCAGCGCGTCGGTATTGTCGACGGACAGGTGGCGCGTCGAACGGTCAAAGTCCCAGTCGGCGGCCAAGTGCATGTGCGTCCTAATGGCTGACGGGTACACGATCGTGTCCCCTCCGAACGTGCCGGAGAGCGTGAACGGCGGAATCAGCGGCATCGGCCCTGTCGGAAACCAGCTGCACGAGGCCGGGCTGGGGCTGGCGCAGAGCGTCACCATGCAGATCTCCGTGCTCCAATGTGGCGTGGCGTCGCGCCGGCCGTCGTACGCGAGCAGGCGGTAGGTGGCAGGCGCGCCGTCGGCGGCGGCGGCGGGCGACGTGCCACGCACGCTGACGCGGCAGCAGAGCTGGCCGTGGCACAGCTCCTGCTCCCGCCCCGTCAGCTCGGCGCTGGCGAACTCTGACATGTTGTAGTGAAGCAACGGGTAGTACGCGACGCTGCCGCCGCCTCCGCCGGCTGAGCGGAAGCCGGCCGGTGGCTGGGCCGGCGGCTGGGCCGGCGACTGGGCCGGCGGCTGGGCTGACGGCTGGGCCGGCCCGTCAACCGACACCCGCGCCGTCAATAGGGCGCCGGCCTCGTTGGCGTAGTCGTACGTGTAGTTGAGCGCGCCGGCGGCCGTGTAGATGCCGGAGCCGACGCTGGCCGTCCTGTGGACGTGGAGCCCAGCCGAGAGCAGCGTCACGCCCAGGCCGCGCGCATACGCGCTGTGCATCTGCAACGCTGCGGCAGACGCCGACGGTCAGTTCGGTGGGACTGAAGGGCGTCCACTGGACCAGCGCTGCGGCAGACGCCGACGGTCAGTTCGGTGGGATTGAAGGGCGTCCACTGGACCAGCGCTGCGGCAGACGCCGACGGTCAGTTCGGTGGGATTGAAGGGCGTCTACTGGACCAGCGCTGCGGCAGACGCCGACGGTCAGTTCGGTGGGATTGAAGGGCAGCGCTGCGACAGACGCCGACGGCCAGTTCGGTGGGATTGAAGGGCAGCGCTGCGGCAGACGCCGACGGTCAGTTCGGTGGGATTGAAGGGCAGCGCTGCGGCAGGCGCCGACGGTCAGTTCGGTGGGATTGAAGGGCAGCGCTGCGGCAGGCGCCGACGGTCAGTTCGGTGGGATTGAAGGGCGTCCACTGGACCAGCGCTGCGGCAGACGCCGACGGTCAGTTCGGTGGGATTGAAGGGCGTCTACTGGACCAGCGCTGCGGCAGACGCCGACGGTCAGTTCGGTGGGATTGAAGGGCAGCGCTGCGACAGACGCCGACGGCCAGTTCGGTGGGATTGAAGGGCAGCGCTGCGGCAGACGCCGACGGTCAGTTCGGTGGGATTGAAGGGCAGCGCTGCGGCAGGCGCCGACGGTCAGTTCGGTGGGATTGAAGGGCAGCGCTGCGGCAGGCGCTAACGGTCAGTTCGGCGGGACTGAAGGGCGTTCACTGGGCCAGCGCTGCGGCAGACGCCGACGGTCAGTTCGGTGGGACTGAAGGGCGTTCACTGGCTAGGCTAGTCAGTGTGGTGCTAGGCCACTAGTGTGGCGCGCAATTCTCATTGTTCACTTTTCATGAAGTTCATTCACGGCTCGAAGCGGTTTTCTGCATTGTTCATGAGGCGCGTCTTTTCTATGTAATTTCGCTAGCTGTGGAAGATATCGCTGTGCTGTTACGTTCTGGGTTTAGGTAACGCTCATCTGATGCGGGGACCTTTCACAGCTGGAGTAAGAAGGCACAGGTGTTGTTCGCTGCCGGAACAAACATACAACAAGGCGGTCGGGAATTTGGGGGCTGAAGATCCAAATATTTACGACAAAAATATCTCAAAATGGTTCATTTGCGGGAGTAACACGATTGACTGAGATCAGCGCCATACAACTTTTTTGATCACCAAAAATCCTGGATGAATGATTCGTTTGACCACCAAAAATCCTGAATGAATAATTCATTTGACCATCAAAAATCCTGAATGCGGACCGATAAACTGAACTCGTAACGCTACGACAGTCCTGCGGACTCGGCCTCGCGTGCTGATAAGCTGAATTCACAGTGCTACGACAGTCCTGTAGACTCGGCCTCGCGCACCACATCAGGCCAACTCAGCGCGGGCAGCTCGTTAGACGGACCGGTCCGTCTGACCCTCAGACTGACCTGTCAGCGAAGGCAGCTCATCGTGCCAGTCGGTGGGGAACACGACATGCGAAATGCCGCGCCGCGTCAACTCCACGGCCGGCACTTCGAACAGGATATCGAAGCAGGTCATCAGGCCGAACACAACGCCGAAGTCGGTGCGGAAGGCGGCCAGGTGCGGCTTCGGTGTCTGCAGCACCTCCCGCTCGACTATATACGGGTGCACCTTGTTATACCTGCGGCGGGGCACGGAAGTCAGCCCATGGGCCCGCGAGCCGCCGCGGGCTCGGTGCGAGCGGTTCGAGACCACTGCGCGCGCGGAGAGGCACACTGTCCGACTGGTGTGCTGGCGCCCTTGATCAGACCCTCAGGAGCACTATTTGACAAAGCACAACAGAATGCGTCTACGCGTGACTCATAACGCAGGAGAAGGCTGTCCGGGCGCGACTGACCACACCATTGGGCTTAGCTTGAGGCACAAAAATATTTGAACAAAAGAAAAGCAGCGAGGACGAAAATATTTAATGTAATATAATATAATAATATAATATGTAATAATAAATATAATAATGAATAAAATAACAAAATAAATAAAAAATTTACAACCGACATAAAGAACACAACACTTCATATACCGAAGAATATGGCTAAAAACGGCATACTTTTGTATCATTGTTCCCTTCCTGTCAAACACCAGGTTGGTGTTGAACAAATAGAAGCCATCCGCCGGGCAGTCTGCGTCAGAAGCTTGGCTGCAGGGCACCTTCTCCACGTAGTTCGCCACGATGTACATCTGGTGAGCCTTAGCGAGGCAGCTCAGGCCAGACACAACCTAGCCGATCACATCTTTATCAGTGCGGTGAAGTAAGCGACTTTGTCTCACATGACAAGTGAATGGGAGGGATAGGAAGAACCACGTGCGTCTAACGTAACGACGATCAAAGTATTGCTACGAGCTATTCATTTCACCCTTTCATTGCGATTTTTATTCACTAAGCCGTGCCGAAAATTACCACATATTTGCACATGCAAATCAACACCCTGACTACCTACCCATGATTAGTATTCCTCAAAACACCCCCAACCTGACACACACCGTCTTCCGTGTGCATCGTTCAGTTTGCTGTCTGTTGTCTCGTGGGAGCAGGCCGGCTGCCGCGGACAGCTGGTCGGAGCGAGCTCACCTCGTGCCGCGACGCCTCGCCGCAGGGCACCGCCATCTCGTCAGCAGAAGGCATCTCCGCGGCGAACAGAGCCAGCGTTTCGCGGGTCGTAAACGGCCCGTTGCTCATGATGCCGTGCTCAGCCAGCACTAGCAGGTCGGCACCCTGGATAAGGTCGCAGGTTAGCGCTGAAGGTCAGGCGCTGGATAAGATCATGGGGTGAAGTCGCGCGGAGGTACCCGGGCCGCGGTCGACAGCAGCGGCTGCAGTGTTTGGAGCCGAATTTTTCTTGGCATGGGGAAGTCCCAGATCAGGTCGAGACCAGCACAGTGCTTGGGGCGGCACTTCCTGGCATTAATGCTTACCAGATGGCATTAAAACAAGGTCGGAGGCTGGTGTCAGCACTTGGTTCAGGCCAAAGCGGGGTCGGGTCGGGCCTCTGACGAGGACACCTCGTGCTCGTCGGGCCCCTATCACCATGGGCCTTAACGCAAAGCGCCCGAGATGAGTTCAGGTAGAGCAGTGCTGCCACCAGGCTGGAGGACTCGCTGCGCTCGGCCCGCCCACGCGGGAGCCGACGGGCAGCAGGGACTTCACGGACGATGCCGAGAGCTCCGCCCTTGCCTGAGCGGAAGCCTGGACAGCGCCGCCCTCACCTGAGCGGAGGCCTCCCTCGCCTGCCGTCCTCAGCTGAGCGGAGGCCTCTTTCGCCTGCCGTCCTCACCTGAGCGGAGGCCTCCTCCGACTTCCGCCCTTACCTGAGCGGAGGCCTCCGCCTGGCGCCCTCACCTGAGCGGAGGCCTCCTCCGCCTGCCGCCCTCACCTGAGCGGAGGCCTCCTCCGCCCGCCGCCGCACCGTCTTCATGTTCTGCCGCCAGGGAGCGCCCTGGCGGGGGTCCCAGTCGGGCAGGGCGATCTCGCACACCGCGGCGATGTACGGTCGCGGCGGCATCGGCGCCAGTCCCAACGGCCGCACGTCCAGTGCCAGCTCTGACGGTCCCGCCGCCGCCGCCGCGGCCAGCGCCGCCAGCCCCACCGCCAGCTCCAGCAGCATGAGTGTCTAAGGCGCGGGAACGCTCTGATCAGCCCAAGCGGGTGTCGGTCGGGTCCTAGAAGCTTCTGTAGGTATTTGTGCTCGATGTAGGGCTTGAATCTCGGGAAGATGTATACTGGGCTTATTTTCATGTATTGAAAACAATTCTGATTTCGGAAAGCAGATTTCGACTTTAACAAAACACGGGCGAACAGAAGCCTACCTATTGTTTATTTCGTCTTCGGTCGGTATGCACCGAAGACACCGTCATGCACTGAAGAAGCGTCATGATGAAAGTGTCACCCCCACATAGCCAACTTCCACATAGCCCATGTTAAATCCAAACCTTTGGGGAATCGGACAAAGAGAAACTTTCTGGCGAAACAAAGATGAATAAATTGGTTGGCTGTGTTCGAGCTTCCTGCACCGCTCGACTCAGCACGATTTGTCGATGCAACCGATTTCTGTGTTCAGTGCAGTTCTGTGGACCGCATCCAGCTCGGGCAGTGCAGTTCTGTAGGCCCCATACGGCTCGGGCAGTACAGTTCTGTGGGCCCCATACGGCTCGGGCAGCGCAGTTCTGTGGGCCCCATACGGCTCGGGCAGAGCAGTTCTGTGGGGCCCATCCAGCTCGGGCAGTGCAGTTTCGTGGATCCCATGTTGCTCAGTACTCCGGCAATGGTTCGCACAGGCGAAGGATACGCCGAGTGCCTTCCTATGTTTACCACGCACGTTGCCATGCCGTGCAGCATGATTTTTACCGGATACCAGTCTCACAAGAACACGCCACAAAATTTTGATTAAAAAAACATTCACACCACTCAAGCAAGATGTCCATCACTGCACAGCATCAGCGATAGGTTCTGTCTCTAGCTAGCAGCGCGCCAGACCGACCGCATGCACGCAACAACCCCTGGCACGGCTGCTGAGACGCGTTCAGGACGTTGAGCTCGACAACATAAGCGTTGTGCAATACATCAACACCCGAGCATCACCGCTGGGGGAGCTCGCTCCACTGGAGCTGATGCGAAGCGCCCTGCGCGCCCAGCCTGCGCTCTCGCCTCTGCCAGGGCCTACCGTGAGCTGCGCGACCACCAGCGGCCGGCGCGTCACTGGCGGGGACAGGGCGCCGCGTCTCGACCCCACCAGCTGTGGACACCGCGCCACCTGTTGTCTCTCCGCCGAGATTACTCGCTGGACCGCTTCACACGGCGGGGGGGGGGGGACCACCTGGCGCCACCGGAAGCAGACCGCCTTGTCACCGCCGACAGCCGTTCCTCAGCGCGCACGCCGGCAGCCGTTTCTCAGCGCGCACGCCGACAGCCGTCCCTCAGCGCACACGCCGGCAGCCGTCCTCAGCGCGCACGCCGGCAGCTCCAGCGCGCATGCCGGTAGTTGCCACGGTTCGGCGGGTTACGCGCAGCAGCGAAGGCCCGGGCAGAGAGCCCGGGCGGCTGTGCGGTGTCTGGGACAACGGGTCTCACCCCAGAAGCGCCGACACCTGGGCGCGTCCCTACCTGGGCCCCGTTCTTCATGACCAAATCGAAGCCCATTCCTTACTTCGAGTAAGCCCAGGCGATGGATGACGTAGGTACCGACTTACCTATGACGTCACGGCCCAAGCCCATTCCTTACTTGGCCGAGAGGCGAAGTAAGTGCGGTAGCTCGCGGTTATTTACATAGCAACGAATAGCCCACGACGCGTTTGCGGGTGGGTTGTGGTGGATGCAGAGGGTTTCCTCTAGCCCCATAGATCTGCCATTTATAAGTTACGCTATTGCCATAGAGTAGTTAACTACCATTGGTTACAAAATGTGTTGGTCAGACTTGTCTGCTTTCCCTTAATGATAGTTCGTCAGGGGCTGCAGGTTACGGCACACCTGGCCAAGGGGCAGTAGGTATGCCGATGTGCCAGCCATCATTGCCTGCTTACTGATTCGATCGTAGATGCGCATTGCTATGCATTGCTACTTAACTTCTTGGCCTAGGTGCTACTGTATCATATCAGCTAAGTACTCCTGTAATGCAAGCTGATTTGTTTCATAGGCCTGATTGATTATTTTGAATTACTGGACTGCACAGGCATGGGTTGGTAGAGGTTAACCAAACAGACTTGTGGTTCTGTGGCTGGTAAGCATGATTGTTGTGCAGCATGAAAATTATATTATTGATCTGGTTGCACTTATTTTCTAGGTCACTTCTTCACTAACCTGTACCTTTACTGCATGCCTGACAGATTATGAACAACATGGGGAAGGTAGAGTTTTGGAACCCCTATGTTGAACAGTATATCATGGTGGCATTACCTAAAATTTCTGTGAGCAGATTTAGCACTAGTATGTGTTTCAGCATACCTTATTAATAGATAACAGGGATGTGAGGGTACTTCCACTGATTAATTGCTAGTGGTATTAAAGCATGTGGAAGTACAAGACAGGAACATAGAATGTCAGTTGAATATTTTTATTGATGATATAGCTTGTATGCATAATTTTGAGCAATTTGTTCTGTACACATGAAGCTATGGCCTATCCTTATCTTAGTTGCATTGAATCTTAATGTGGCCATTATACATGCTTTCTTTGCCAAAGAAACATTCCCTACCACCATGGTTTTGTCTGCTTTGTTTGACAAGGTGGGTGAGTTGTAAAAAAAACTGATACATGTCATAGGTGTCATCATCTTGTATTTAAGTATTGTTTGAATGAAGTTTTTCCCCCACAATGCAACCTAAATGGTCAATTATGGAAGGCAGTGAACATTTCATTCTTAAAATGTTATGTGCCAAATGTGATCACCTGTGGATGAGATTTGGCATGCACTAGGCAATCAAACATTGGAATTGCCATACTGTATGTTGCCCAAAGTAGTCCCAGTAACTGGGTGTACACAAATTGTGTTTCTAGATGTGGACAGTCTCCAAGCTTTTCAGTGTATGTTCCTTCCAAGGACACCTCCTGCTGCTCCTTAGCTGTCTGTTTCCCAAAGTGTGTTTGTGCTGACTTGAATGTGATGGATTGACTGTTATTTCTGATCTGCTTTTATTGTTCCCAATCTTCGCATTACAACATTTAACTGGAGCAGGCTGCATGCATCATCTTTGCCATGAGGTGGTCAGCCATGTGCTGTCACTTTGTGAAGCGCATGCACTGCACTTGCAGGTTCTGTATGCTAGAAAGTAACAGTGCACCCATGTCAACCTGTTCCACAGGATATGCCTCATGGGGCTCTGCAGGCACCAAGTCATCCCCTGCCCCATGCTCATGATGCACAATGCAATGATTGATGCATGGTGCAATGATCAATGCAATGATAACCTCAGCCACATTGCCCATGTTTTTCACTTCTACATGTTTTAGTTGCTGCAGTTTGTTTTTCAGCATGCTGAAAGCACGTTCAATTTTGGACGCTGCTCTGAAACGTGTCAACATGGCCATCCTGTGGGGCGCGTCGATTGTCAGGCTGATAACCGACTCCCGTATGGTCTACCACTGGATAAGCGACCTTTTTTTGTATGGTCTGTAGAAGTGGCGCTGAGTGGGGCTGAGGTGATCGTTGTCTCGGGAAGGGGTGATGATCTCCGGGGAAAGGGGAAGCTCCTGTCCTCGACGAGGTATGCGTTAGATGGGAGAAGCTGCCGCCGATGCTCCCTGAGGTCGCAGCAGAGGAGGGCCTTCTCCAAAAAAAATACGAGAATCGCGGGCGGATCGCGGAACCCTGGAAGTACATCAGTGCGTACGCTGCGGGGACCACAAGCAGCCAGTAGATGTACTGTTTTGGCGACGCTCATGAGTATTATGAGCAGCTGCTATCTGCTTGCTGGGTGCATCCATGAAGATGAAGAACCTGTCGATGGCTGCAACCACACCCGGGGAGCTGGCGCACGCTGCAAAGCCTGCGATGGTTCCATGTGGCCGCGCTCCTATTGGCCACGCGATGGCGTCACTGTGCGCGGTAGCAACATATTTGCAAAATGTTGTTAGATACTAGTGTGACCCAGATTTTGAACTTCCGAACTTGTCGCCAACGTCGTGTGGGGGTACTGGCTCGGCAAGATATTGCAGCGCAGGCATCACATCTTCCAACGGACGCTTCTGGTTGCCCCTGCGCTGGCCATGATTGTCATAATAAGGAGCCAGCTTTGCTTAGAGATTTTGAGAGAAAAAATGTGCGCGGATACGAGACTGCGATTTGAAATCCTCGTTATCATGTCCTGGAACCACGTCATGTAAATAATTTTCTGTTTTGTTTGCGCGACGCTGGTGCTTTGGCAGGGCCAGAACCGCTACGTCGGCGTATGCGCCAATGTGTTAGTCACTTTCTGGATCCGGTAACATAGTTTGTCTGGACAACACTTGGCGTCTCATTACAACACGTGTTCCGAACAAAGCTGTATCCCTGCTTGCAGCAACACGCGCAAAACTCGACCATGCGTAACAAAATACATGGACGACCTCAGTATACATGCGCGACGCTCGCGCAACGCTTGAAGTAATGTCGCGTCTGTCGGAGTCGAAGGCGATGATCTGCCTTTCTCTGCCTATAATATTCTCGTTAATGTACAGTCGTTATGGTATAGGCAGCTGTTGTGAGAGATGCACGTGAAGTATTTGTATTTAACTGTCCTGACTCGTCAATATCATCTCTGCTGCGCGTCAAATGTGTTTGTTGGAAAACAGCGATTTTATTAGCCGCCATATTTGGGAGTTGCTTGAAGCGTTCTCCATGGCGCAGATGACGTAGCTGTGCAACGTCATAGGTTGCTACCTGAAAAGGCGGAGCATCTGGCAGCATTTCCCCATCAAGAACGGGGCCCTGATGAGCCGTGACCTTCTGCGGGCCAGTGTAAAACCGCGCGCCGCGCCACGCTGCACAGCAGGAATGGTGGTCAGACCATACCTTCGAGGAAGGCTACCTTCCGGTTCCCGGAGCTTGACCTTGCCGAGTTGTCCCGACAGCGCGGCAACGTATGAAACACGCGCCAGGTCACGCGAGCAATGTAGTGCGTCGTTCCACTCGCCTTGGGGCTTGGCTGCGACCTTTGGGCTTTGGCTCAGAGAGAACGTACGGGAGCGGAGCCATCTGACCATTTTTAGTTCTGATATCGCAGGGCACCTGGCAACATGCCACGAGTTTCCCGGCACTGAGTTGCTGAGACAGCGCGGGACTTACCCGCGCGGGAAGACGCTACCTGAAGTATCCCAGGCGTCTGTCCGGAAAATTGTGACTGGCCATTGCTATTGCATGATAAGAATGCCTCACAAACTGATGCTGTCCCTTTGCCTGTGCACCAAACGAGAGTAATTTAGGCGAGTCATTTGTCTGGTCCTCTATGTTGAGGAGAGGAGCTCTCAAGTTGGAACGTTCCTGGCGGACAGGCACACTGCACGCATCTCTGGATCCCGCACGCATCTCTAGATACTGCACGCACCTGTAGATCCTGCACGCATCTCTAGATCATGCACGCATCGTTAGACCCTGCACGCATCTCTAGACCCCCGCACGCATTTCTACATCCACACGTACCTCTAGATTCCGCACGCATCTCTAGACCTCCCACACATCTCTAAATCCACGCGTACCTCTAGATGCCGCGCGCATCTCTAGACCCCGCACACAGTGCGATGTACTACCATGTACGGTAGCTGTCCTATATTTTAGTGACGGCTTCCCTTTATATCGTTAGCGTTTGGTGACGCACGACGCTTGTATATTGACGCATGACGCGGGGGTCTGAAATAGAGATGAAGGGGTGGAGCAGGGTACGTGGCGTCTAAGACCAATTACTGATAGATAATACTCGGACATGACACCACATGGTGGCAGCGGGGTGAGAACACACTACAGCACAATCTAAAAAGGAGGGAAGAAATGTCTAGTCGCAATAAGCCAAATTAAGGGCTTCAGTAGTGCGCTTTACGTGCGTCGCAATCGCCGCAGAAAACAAAAAATGTCTGATTCTTTCATACCTCACATGGAATGGGAAGCTGCTGACCAAAGCCTTGCCATAAAGCTCTTCAAGCAGAAATGTGAACTGTTTTTCTCAGTGAAAGAAATCAAAAAAGAAAAACAAGTGGACCATATCTTGCTGTCCTCAGGAGAGCCAGGCCTGAGATTCTACAACTCATGGGGCCTCCTAGCAGAGGGAGAGAAGGATCCCAAAAAGGTATGGGACAAATTCCAGACCCAAGTTGAGCCTAAGACCAACTTCAGAGTGGCCAGGCTGTTCCTCCAACGCCTGAAGCAGGAGGAAGGCGAGTCGTTTGATGACTTTGTTTCCAGATGCAAACTCCAGGCCCAAAAATGTGCCTTCAGGGATGACCAGGAGTTCAATGAAGGGGCCATGGAACAAATTGTCATTGGCACATGCCATGCTGAGGTTCAAAAAGAGCTCATCAGCAAAGATAACACTCTCCACCTGGACAAAGTGCTGGAGGTGGGTCGCACACATGAAGTGTCCATGCGGCACATGCAGCAAGTAAAGAGCATGCAATCCCAAGATGCCAACCAAGTAGCGCACTACCTGCAAAGAAGCCAGAAAGGTAACAAAACATGCACCAGATGTGGCTACAAGGCTCATTTTCACAAACAAGAGTGGCCAGCCATGGGTTCAACATGTAAGGTGTGTGGAAAGCCGAACCACTGGAATACTGTCTGTGGGAGGCTCAAGATGTACAGCCAAGGGACAGCAAATCAGGGTCACGGAACCAACAAGGAGCAACCCAAAGGCATCAAAGGCACAACCAACCAAGCCGCAAACAACAAAACAACCAAAACAGGTCAGTGCATGCCATCAGCAAAAATTATCCGTTCAGTCAGCCAACCCTCAACAGCCTCAAAGTAGCAGGTGTAAACTCAGTGAATGAAGACACTCGAGATGATGCCTTCACATACCTCCAAACAAGGCTGGACAAACAAAAACTGCTGGTGAACCTCAGAGTGGAAGTGGACACTGGTGCCTAAGGCAACATCCTGCCTGTCAGAATGTACCAGCAGATGTTCCCTCACTCCCTGGCTGCTCAAGGTATGCCGCAGGCTGCTGATATTATGAAAACAGATGTGATCCTCACAGCCTACAATGGCACCACAATTAAACAGTATGGATGCATGGAACTGCCCTGCAGGTTCGGCAACAACAGCTGGACCCCAACCAAGTTCTTCGTGGTGGGGTCTGAAGGACCAGCCATCGTCGGACTGCCAAGCTCCCGCCAGCTGAATCTGGTGACGCTGCACAGTGCGATCACAGCCACAGACAGCAAGGTGAACACGGTTGAGGACCTCGTGAAAATCTACCCGGACCAGTTCGACAGGATCGGCAAGTTCCCAGGGAAGTATCACATCGAGCTGAAGTAAGGTGCCCAACCTGTGATACATGCCCAGAGGAAGTTCTCCGTTCGCCTGAGAGAGCAAATCAAGGCGCAGCTGGACGAAAGGGAAACCACAGGTGTCATCAAGAAGGTCCAAGAGCCCACAGACTGGGTCAACAGCATGGTCTGCACCAAGAAGAGAGATGGAACTCTCAGAGTGTGCCTCGACCCGAAGGACCTCAACAAGGCCATCAAAAAGTGTCACCACAAGACACCAACGCTGGAGGAGCTGACGCACAAGCTGACAGGCGCCACCGTCTTCAGCAAGCTGGACGGCAAGAACGGCTACTGGTCGATGACGTTGGATGACCAGAGCTCGTTCCTCACCACCTTCAGCACCCCGTTCGGAAGGTACAGGTACCTCCGGATGCCGTTCGGCCTGGTCATGTCCCAGGACGTGTTCCAGCGCAAGATAGACCAGATCCTGGGGGAATGTCCTGAAACAATGGGAATCACAGACGACGTGGCTGTCTTCGGCAAGAACGAAGCCGACCACGATGCAAATCTCCAACACCTGTTCACCGTCGCCAAGAAACATGGACTGTCGTTCGACAGCAGCAAGTGCGCCATCAAGCAGCATTTCATCAAGTTTTACGGCATCACGTATGACCGAGACGGAGCGCACCCCGACCCTGACAAGGTCACGAACATCAAAGCGATGGCAACACCCTCCAACCAGAAGGAACTTCAAGAGTTCCTGGGCGTCATCACACACATGTCGCCGTGCATGCCAAAGCTGTCAGATGCAACAGAACCACTCCGAGGACTTCTGAAGAAATGAGCCGAGTTCTGCTGGACAGCAGCCCACGAAGTAGCCTTCCAAAAGGTGAAAAAACGAATCTGCGAGGAGACGACCCTGGAATACTTCGATCCAAGGGAGCCGACACGAGTGGAAGTCGACGCCTTGCAGAAAGGCCTGGGAGCTGCCCTTGTGCAAGACGGGAAGCCCATCGCGTTCGCCTCATAGTCGCTGTCAGAAGCCGAGCAGCGCTACACGAACATCGAAAGAGAGCTCCTGGCGGTCGTGTGTGAGTGCGAACGCTTCCACACGTACCTCTTCGGTCGCGACTTCATCGTCGAGAGCAACCACAAGCCACTAGAGATGATCTAACTGAAGAACCTCCGAGCAGCACCACCAAGACTCCAGAGGATGTTGATGCGTCTGCAAAACTACGACGTGCAGATCACCTACAAACCTGGCAAGCAGATGCTGCTCGCAGATGGACTGTCGCGCCTCCCGCCGGCAGAAAACAGCCACATTGAGCTCGACCTGCAGATCCATCTCGTGCACTTCGGTGCCGGAAAGCTCCAAAAGCTGAGGGAAGAAACGTCGCGCGACAAAACGCTGACGGTGCCCCGTGACGTCATCGTTGCAGGCTGGCCTGGATCTCAAAAAAGCCTGCCTCCGTCCCTCCGACCGTACTGGTCGTACCGAGACGAACTGGCGGCGTAAGATGGACTCGTCCTAAACGGGGAGAGATTCGTCATCCCCCAAGAGATGAGGGAAGAAATCCTGCAAAAAATACATAAAAGCCACCAAGGACAGGTCAAGTGCAAGCTGCGAGCAAGAGAATGTGTCTACTGGCCAGGCATTAACAGAGACATCGAGAGGGAGACGGCAAAGTGTGAGACCTGCCAAAAGCACATGAGGAGTCAGCAAAAGGAGCCGATGACACAAATGGAGCTGCCAACGCGCCCATGGCAGATCATCGGCACAGACCTCTTCCATTTGAACTACCAAACGTACCTGGCCGTCGCAGACTACTCCTCGAAGTTCCCGACTGTAAGGAGGATACCGGGGCACTGCACCAGCAAAGCAGTAATCAACGCTCTGAAGGAAATCTTCGCGGAATACGGCATCCCAGACACCATCAGGAGTAACAACGGACCACAGTACGACTGTGGGTCGTTCGCCTGCTTCATGAGGGAGTGGAGCATTGTGCACATCACGAGCTCACCCCACTTCCCAGAGAGCAACGGCTTCATAGAGCGGACCATCCAAACGCTGAAGCAGGCCATGAAGAAGGCTCTAGAGAGCGGCAGTGACGTGCTCATGGCACTCCTCACCCTGCGGACGACGCCCATCGACAGTCACCTGCCAAGCCCAGCCGAAATCCTCCAAGGTCGGAAAGTCCGAGGAAATCTGCCCATGAAGACCCGACCAAGAAGTGAGCAGGCCGACGTCCTGCCACGCCTGGTGGAACGCCAGACCACCCAAAAGGCGTGCCACGACCGACATGCGACTGAGCTGTCAACACTCAGTCCCGGACAACCCATCCGCGTACAGCACCCTCAGAGCGGCCGACGGAATCCAGCGACCGTTGTGGACCAGCGGCCTGAACCAAGGTCGTACACCATCAGAGCGGCCTACGGCGCGGTCTGTCTGAGGAACCGGCAACACCTTCGCAGCCTCAGCCCGTCTCCAACTCGCTTGGACAACACTACCCCAGCCAGGACGGTGTCAGCGCAAAGCAGCCCACCTCCACCAGCTGCCTACGCTCAGACGAGCCCCAGAGCGGTAGTGGTACCAGACCACGAACCGCCAAACATCCCAACTTCCCGTTACGGTCGAGTTCTGAAGAAACCCGACCGCCTGGACCTTTAGTGCGTAGTGTACATATGTTGAAAAGGGGGATGCGATGTACTGCCATGTACGGTAGCCGTCTTATATTTTAGTGACGGCTTCCCTTTATATCGTTAGCGTTTGCATTTATGTTTTCGTACATGTGTATCCCAGCAGCCGCCAACAGCGGTGTTAGCATAGTGGTGAGCGAAATGACACAACTATCAATGTTCTGCCAAAAATGTTTTGTCTTACCAAGTATCAGAGGTGATGAGAAATATATTTATATTATCATTTTGTGAATACATTTATATTTACTGTATCTCAACAACTAGCTTTTAAAAACAACGAGAAACGAGGTTTTCGAGCAGGAAAACCGAGGCCACTAAAACCTACATTGTCGAGGATATATTGGACGAAGGCAATCTAAATGCAACGAAACTTCCCCAACTATTTTGCGTTTGCTTCTTTGTTTTATTTCTGTGCATTCTTTTTTGTAAGTAGTTTAGACGTCAACAGAGCCGTCCAAATGGCCCAACTATCAATTTTCCGTCAAAAATGATTTCTCTTACCAAGTATCAGAGGTGATGAGAAATAAATTTATATTATCATTTTGTAAATACATTTACACTTACTGTAGCTCAACGACTAGCTTTTAAAAATAACGAGAAACGAGGTTTTGGAGCAGGAAAGCTGAGGCCACTAAAACCTACATTGTCGAGTACATATTGGACGAAAGCGATGGAAATGCAGCGAAACTTCCCAACTATTTTGCGTTTGCTTCTTTCTTTTATTTCTATGCATTCTTTTCTGTAGGTAGTTTAGACGCCAACAGAGCCGTTCAATAGTCCTAAGATCGCCACGTGGTCCAGGGCTCTAAGATCGTATTTCGTTGAGGGTCTCGACCACTCGGGCCACGGACGAATCGTAGCTGAGCTAACGATCTTATACCCGGCCCCTTCTCTTTCTCCCACTTCCACCTTACTCTGCCGTAAAGACGTGGATCCCTACAAAATAGCACGTCATCCTGATGAAAATCCCGCGGAATGCAGTCCTCCTTGAAGGTTTTTGGGCGATACAATATCTTCTATCTCATATCAATTTCTGACTCGCTTTTGCCACTCAGTCCTCAGATACCAAAGGAAAACATAAAGGCACAGGAACCCGTATGTACTCTTATAAATGTACCTAAGGCACGCACATAGGAGAGAATGGCCATTTAATGTAACAATTGAGGGAATGCACATTTAGACCCGGACCTAGACTCAATTTCATTCATTTAGTGCATTCAAACCTCATGTTTGCCGTACCCCAGGACGGTTAATTCTGTGCTCAATGCTTTCCTCAACAAATTCAGCAAAACCAGAGATCTGATGGGAATCTATGACCACGAAACACTATTAGTAATTGCACACGCTCCGGAACATCCGTTCTAAAAGCAACAGGACCTAAACCATGTTAATTATACAGATGCCTAGATTGCTAGTTTATTCCATGTCGTAACTTGTATAAAGAACGACGTAAAACCGAAATCCCGGATAAGCCCACGAGAACACTCAATGCACGGGATCCAAATTGGAGCAGACACGTATTGCGCTACGCCAACTGACACCTCCCATCATTTCTTAGAACCCCGTCGGCTGTACTCTTTTAATGGCATAGCCTTTAAATGAGATGGCACACTGTACCGGACGTCATTGACTTCTTACGACAATGGTACAGTGGTCCTCATACAATAATCCCGGCTAAACACTCGAAGACCTACAAATCGTGGACGATGATATGAACGAGATCATCAGCTTCAACATGCCATGCAAGTGTATTCAGATCGACAGAACACGCCTTAGCAGACATGAAATGACGACAGTTTAGACACATTCCGCCTAAACCAGACATAACACATTTCGTCCAAAGGACTTCTCACAAACACAACAAAACAAGATTCACAAGCTGTCCAAGTGGTTTGTGCAGCCAAAAAGGAGACTGCACCTAGCACAGCGTACATTTTCCCGTCCGCAGGCAAACGCATCGTCATCATAAAACCATCAATACACCATCACATACCATCATCACATCATCATCGTATCAAGCCACCCCCGCTTCCATAGTCACGGCGAAGACGAAGACTAATCAAGGTTAAATCGGGCTCCTTCCCAGCCCCGCACAGCAGCAGCCTGAGCCGGCCGGCACCCGGTACAGGCATGCAGGGAGCGGCTGGGCCCCCAAGATAAACATTGTAGGCTCCTGTGTGCACCACCTCTTTTCCTCAATACATGCACACACCAGATGTCTTGCACACTTACCCAAGCACATTTAGACTTGATGCATACCATCGCCTCAAACTCTGCATTTGGAACGACTAGAAAGGCGTCATATGGTAAAGCCCCACTAAGCCTAAGCTTGTAGCTATAGATATTTACTGAAAGGCCCGGATATTTCCGCGGCAAGGCATCTGATGAGCATGCAATGATCATGACACTGAAATGAGGGAAGCAGTCTGCATGAGAACATGTCTATGGTGCCTCTTCTGTTTAACTGCCCAACTCGCACCTCCATGACCTCAACTTGACATGACCTGTTCTGCGACCCAGTGCTCGATTTTGCTCGACGCAGCCCTACAGACTGTGCGGCTATTTGTAGTGCAGTTGTACTTTGTGTCCCGCGCCCCTGCTGGGGCGGGGCGCGGCAGGTGGTCAGGTTCGCAGGCCGGCCCCGGCTGCGCGGCAGATGCGCGCCGCCACCGCAATTCGCACGGCCCCGGCTCGCGGCCCCCGCTGTCGGGAGTCGCCGTTGGGAGAGCAGAAAGGGTAGGTGCACCGTCAGGGGCTGCTGTGGTGCGAGACCAAAATACAGAGAAGTTTTGGTGAAATTCTTGGCGTCTCACTACAGCGGCGCAGCGGCACGACGCTGTCCCAGATACCGCTGATACGGGTGTGTTCGAGTCAGTCTCCGCGAAGGTGCACACGAGTCGGTGGTCGGGACCAGACTGTCCTTCCGTACTCCGCGAGACGCTCTGCCACCCACCGTCCGGTCTAGATACTACTACTCGCGCGCTATTCTCGGTACTCGCACATCCCCCACCAGTCATTCAGCCCGCGGGACGCGATCGAATGACGAACACAATTTTTGTATACGCGAGGGATGAGTGTACACTAGAGAATTGAGCACGACAAGTATGGCGGGAGACGCGATCGCGGGCCGGTAGGAAGACAGGCGGCGGAGCGCGGAGCCTACAGTGCGAGAATACGGGGTCGCATGCTAAATCTACCGCACACGGTGTGCCTGGCCACTCAGTCACATGGTCCCAATTAGACGTTCGCGACGCCGGGTAGCCCGTGCAGACCATTGCGGCGGCGCTGGGAAGACGTCGGGCGGCGCCTCTCCATCCGGTATTGGACCTGGGGTCGGCTCACTCAGACGTCCCGGATCCCCCGCGGGGACCGGCTCGGGCGGGGGCGGTGTGCCCGCCGCGGCCGCCGGCGCCGGGGGCGCGGCCGCTGGCAGCTGCGAGAGCTCGGCCGCGTCCGGCCGGCTGGGGGCGTATTGCTGGCGGATGTGACACCGGTTCCGTGTCAACACCCGGCTGCTGGGCAGGCGGATGAAGTAGTGGTGGTGGGGGCCGATCTCTGCGATGATGAAGTACCGGTCCCAGCAGCCAGTGGCTGGATTTTGGGGGGCCACTAGAGTCTCCGTCCGGAGGACTGGCAGATGCCGCGCGTGGGAGTTGTACCGCGCGTCGATGTCTTTTTGTCGCGCGGCCGCGGCCGCGGCGCGCCCGGCATCATCAGTTTCTTGCTGCCAGCGCGGCGCGAACGCCCGCCGGTGAGCCGGCACCATGTCCCGCACGGGGGCATGGCAGAGGATCTGAGCCGATGATCAGCCGTCCGGGCCGGGTGTGTTGCGGTGTTGCAACATGCCTCGCACAGAGGCGTCGTCGTCCACATGATTTTGTCGCCAGCACCGGCGGATGAGTTTGGCAGCGTATTTTACCGCTGTTTCGGCGCGGCCATTTGACTGCGGGTAGTGTGGCGAAGACATCTTATGGGTCACTGCCCATTTGGAGAGAAATGCTTTGAATGCCTTTGATGTGCATTGAGGGCCGCCGTCCGACCACAGGAGCTTCGGCACCCCAGCTGTGCAAAAGATGTCACAGAACTCTCTGACGAGGTAGGCGGCGGTGGCGTGGCGGCCGAGAGGGCTAACAATCAGCCAGCCAGAGAATTGGTCGACCGCGACCAGGCAGTGGCGCCCGGCATATTCTCAGAAGTCTGCGCAGAGGTGCAGGAACGGCCGGCTGGCTGGATCGTGATGCCGGATCGTTTCTCTTTGTTGGGCCGGCGGCTCTCGTTGGCATTACTGACATGCCTTGGTTATGCTGTCGGTGTCGTTTGACATCCCAGGCCAAAATACTAGCTGGCGGGCCCGACTTTTTGTCTTTTCTTTGCCCATGTGTCCGGCGTGGAGCTCCCGGAGCACGGAGGGTCGCATTGGCCGAGGGATCACGAGGCGGCACCCGTGAAGCACCAGACCGTCTTCAACTCAGTTTGTCGTACACTGACCAGTAGGGGCGAATGTGGTACGGGAGGTCGGTTTTTTGATGAGGGAAGCCGTTCGTGACTACCTCGAGTAGGAGCTGGACTTCCTCGTCGCCATCTGCCGCCTCCAGTACGTCCCGTAGTCGGAGGTCGAGGTGCGACGCATCGATCGCCCACGCAGCGACGGTGGCGACGGTAGGAGCGGTG